TTTTCTGCTTTTCTTTGAATGAGAAAAAATGGGGGATGGGGAGAGAGACAGAGAGAGAGAGAGAGAGAGAGAGAGAGAGAGAGAGAGAGAGAGAGAGAGAAGGAGGGAGAGAACTCTTACTGTTAATTTGTGAATTTTTGTTTGCTTTTGCTCAAAAACCAGCGGGGTCTGTTGTGTTGCCGTATCACATGTAGGTTCACGTGTCTGTTGTTGACGTGCGTAAGCCCTGGGTGCAGGGTCTGTGCCTAGCACTGAGCACAGTTCCCAGGAAGGTGCCAGGCCTGAGCAGCCCCCACCCCACCCTGCTGGTGGCCAGCCCCTCCCTCGCCCTGAGGCCCCTTTCTCAGGCTCTATCCTTCCTTGCTCTTTTTTAGCAGCAGCTGCAAGAGGATGCAGGTCTGGAAAAACTGGGATGAGGTCACACTGGAGAGCTGGACACCTAGTCAGCTGCATGAGCAGCGCGGCTGGGTGTTGCTCCTTCCTGCCGGCTCTGCTTGCAGAAGGATATATGTTGAGGAAACTCAGCCAGAAAGCAATCCAGTGAAAATGAGCTATGAAACTTGGACATCCTGGAGAAATAATATTTACAGAGGAAACTCTTGAATTGAACTCTCACAACGACCCTGGTGTTGGGGCGCATGGCTGAGGGCCAGTCACGTGCTAGGCAGGACTCGGCTCTTGTTGACGTCTGTGAGGCCATGACAGAACTCCACAGAAGGCAAATTCAACTCTACTCAGCCCCAAGGCCAGACACACAGGCAACAGAACAGAACACAGAAATGGAAATCCTTTTAAAAATCCTCCTTGAGATCCAAAAGGACCTGTCCCTTGGGATTTCTGTAGCTCTCCTAGCGTGTTTGTCGAAATACTTGCATAGATGGGTGGTGGGTAGAAAAAAGTCCCCAGCACTAGCCTCTCTCCATTCCATGGTTACCAATGGGGACCTGGAGGACYGCCCACCATCGTGATTATAAAGGGGTCCAACCTGGAGAGTGTGGCTGGATTTGGATCAGTCCATTCCATAATTGGAGCCCAAGAGGTTGTGTGAAAGAGAGGAAATCGCAGGATCCTTGGGAGACTCGAGCCTCATTCTGGCCATGGTGTCGCCTCTTCTTATAACTTGGAGTGCAAGCAGATGCTCTAGCCAAAGCTCCAGCTCGTCATCTGTCACCTGGAGTAGGGACCACCTCCTTCAGGGGAACTGGGTGAGGAGCAGATGAGGTCACATAAGCACAGAGGAGAGGATCACAGTTGGAGTGGCCTCTCTCCATGCATGAGCTCACTCAATCCTCATGACAGCAATGGTAATAGGACACAGGGACCAACAACCCACCCAGTGACCACACAACTAACACACAGCCCAATCAGAACTGGAGCCCACGTGCTGGACTCCAGAGCCCACGCTCTCTAACTGTCCACTGTACTATGACAGAAACTAGCGTGAGGCCTGACCCATGTAGGTGATCCATTATGGTTATCACCTTCCTTCAGGCTCAGTTAAACCTGCAGGATTATGCTGAGAAATCCAGAGAAAAATATATGTGAAGGTTCTCTGAAGGCCATAAAGTCCATTGAAAATAGAGGACTTTTTTTTGAAAAATGACTTTATTGAGATATAATTCACATACCATTATAATTCACCCATTTAAAATATATCATCCAGTGGTTTTTTTTTTCCTTACATTTTTTTCTTAATAGAGTTGGACAGCCATCGCCACCATCAATTTGAGAATATTTTCAAAAAGAAACCCCATGTCCCTTAACTGTAATTCCTCCATCTCCACTCCCACCCCTGTGGAGGCCCTGGCTACCACTAACCTGCTGCTATATTTATAGATTTGTTTCTTTGGGGCCTTCCGTTTTAATGGAATCATAAAGTACGTGGTTCTGCTGGTTGCTGTGGTATGTACCTGTGATTCCAGAGACTCGGGAGGCTAAGGCAGGAGGATTGCAAGTTGAAAGCAGACTCATCAATTTAATGAGGAGCTGTCTCAAAATGAAAAAATAAAAAGGGCTAGGGATGTTTTCCAGTGCTAGAGTGCCCCCATGGTTCAAWTCCCAGTACAGGGGAAAGAAAAATATTTCCATTATACAGATAAGGAGGCTGAGGCCCAGAGAGGGGATGGAGCATAGCCATCTGGTTGGGGGTAGAGGCCTGCCTCGAGCCTTTTGACTCTCACCTTGATCCCATCTCACTTTGCATTGTTGGAATCACAGTTCAAAACTCACAGGTCACTGATGGGGGACCACCAGCAGCATCTCTGCCAACATTTGCCTGACACCATTCATTCAACAAGTGGATGCTGTCTGTCCCCCCATGTGCAGGACACTGCGAGAGGCCGAGGACACAAGCGGACACAGATCAGCCAAGACTCCTGCCCTTCCTCTAGGAATGTACCTTCTCTTGGAAAGGCAGAAACAAATGGATGAACCCCTAAATAATCAAATAATTGTATGTTAGGGTCCACAAAAGAAGCAAGCAAGGGCCTGAGAAAGAGCCATGTGGGGACTAGGGAAGTACCGGCACAGCAGGGGTAAGGTGAAAGGACCCACCATACAGAGCGCCACACAGCACTTCATTAGACACTTGGAGAAGGTGTCTCCAAGGAGGGGATATTTAGGTTGAGGCCCGGAGGAGGAGAGAAGCAATCTTGTGACTATCTAGAGGAAGAAGTTACCAGAGAGAGAGSTTAGTATGTGCAAAGATCCTGGGGCAAGAAAGAGCTTGGAGTGACTGAACAAGCAGGTGGTGTAACATGAGGCTGGAGAGAGCCGGGCCCAGATCCCAATGGAAGCTCTTTGGCTTCTTCTTTCATGACCACACTCTTAGAGTTAAATGAAGACAGGAGGACTTGTGGGAAAGACCAGAGGCTCCCAGTTCCCTTCCAGTGAATTCAATGAACTTCACTGACCACAGGCAGCTGGAAGGAGTCCCAAGTCTAGAGCAAAGGCTTCCAAGGATGAGAGAAGCATCCTTGGTACGTTTCCGGTCTTCGGTGGGAGTGATATAGCTGTGTATCTCCCTGGGGGTGAATCAGCTGAGGAAAATGGCAGGAAAGGAGATAATAAGGGCCTATCAATAAGGAGGTGGTTAAATAACTATGGTACAGTCACATCGTGGAACATAATTCAGCCGGAAAAAACAATGAACTGAACCTTTCAGTACTGCCATAGTTGTTAAGAAACCAACCAACCAACCMACCAACCCACCAACCAGTCGAATGTCATCGATTGTGTACAATAAAACAAGATGCATATTTGGCAAAATCCACGCGTATCGTCTGTCTACAAGGAGGGCTTCCTGCTGTTTCTGTCACCCCAGGATGACGAACTGCACAGGGAGGAAGGGCAGGATCTTCTTCATTGGCTAGATGGGAGGACGGAGGGAGGGGTAGCCGGGGACTCTCCRCTGTCTTTTCTGAGACTGTTTCCAAGTTTGAAACATGGGAATGGATKCTTTCCTATTCAAATAAATTAAATGAAAAAATAAAAACAAAGAAAGGGTCTAGACCTATGAGCCAAAGCCCTGTGCYCCAACCCTGCTGCCCCTCAGCCTAAGTCCAGCCCTAGAGGAGCCAGTTCCTGGTCTGGATTTTGTTCCTAGTTGTGTGGATGCTTTGTGATCATCTGGTGACCAAAGAAATTGTCCAGGAGGGTCCAGAATTAAACCCAATTCCCAAATGAGAACCCTCAAAGCCCCTGCCTTTGGAGGCACTCTGAGATGAACAAGCAAGAACGTCTTCATCACTTGGGTCCTGGACTRTGATTATGGACCCAGCACTGGGCGGGCACCTTGGAAGTGTCCCTGTGCAAAACCAGTTGAGCGGGCCTCAGWGTAACTCACGGCTGCTGCCCTCAGCCTCCAAGTTTCTCCACCTGGGCACCACGGACTCTGCCAGCTGAACAGTTCTTTGCTGGACAGCTGCCATGTGCATTATAAGACGTTTTGCAGGGTCCCTTGGTCCCTACCTACTAGAAACCAGGAGCACCCTCAAACCCCTCTGATTGTAACAATCCAACCCATCCCCAGACAATGCCTAGTGTCCTCCCTCCGTGGGACAAAATGGTCCCAGCTGAGAACCCCTGTTCTCACCACTGTATTTCTGAGCAACTGCTGCCCTCTAGATGGGAAGCTAGTGACTTCCCCTTGGTCTGGACACCAGATGGGTTGCCCCAGGGGTGGAGAAGTCGACTGAACTTCACTGTGGTTGGTCCCCTGCATTTCATAGCTGAAAGCCATCCTAACTCCTTGGGAAACTTTTCTGTCTGGAAAAAATAACAATTCCAGATTTTTTTTTTAAATAATAGAACAAGGGACTGGGGTTGTGGCTCAGCAGTAGAGCACTGGCCTAGCACGATCCTCTGCACCACAGTAAAAAAAAATAAAAGGTATTGTGTCTAACTACAACTAAGAAATAATAGAATAATAGAATAAATAATAGAAATAATAGAACAAAGCCAAGTGTGATGGTGCCCCCCTGTAATCCCAGCTGCACAGGAGACTGAGGCAGGAGGATCGCAGGTTCAAGGCTGGTCTGGGCAAGTTAGCAGGACCTTGTCTTTCAAACAACAACAACATCAAAAATCTGTCCACAAGAGTCACAGGCTGGTCAGCTCCACTGCACCCCAAGATTGATGGGATGGCAGAGCCAGGGAAGCAAATGCCATTCCCTCCTGATTATTTTCTTCCAGGAGACTGCAGGAGGGGGCAGGACACCCTGAAGGGCCCCACGGGGTTATTGTAACAAACAGGGTGGACAACCAGAGGAGCTAGCCATCATCCCTCCTCCTCTTAAGAACATAGTTCCCCATGCACAGCTTTCTCTGGATGGCAAAGAAAAAGGAACTGTATTTCTATGTTCTGATTAATGGGAGGCTCATCCTTGGGGTTCTACAAAACGAATGAGCAGAATTTTCCAGAACCGACTATCCTGGCYGCCGGGCCCTATCTGCACAAGTGTCACGTTGATCTACTTTTTCTTGTGTTATTTTTATTCCAGTTCAGCTGCAGCTCAGTGCGGAAAGCGTGGGGGAGGTGTATATAAAGAGTACCGAGACCGGCCAGTACTTGGCCATGGACACCGACGGGCTTTTATATGGCTCAGTAAGTATGAAACTGACGTGCCTCCAGACACGGCCCAGGTTTGAGGTTTCCAGAAATCTTGTTACACCAAGTGATGCAAACTCAAAAGCATCAATTAGTCTCTGTTTGTTATTTTTTCCAGTAGGATTCCCACCCTCTACCTTGCCTTATTTTAGGTATGAACATAAAAGAGTTTCTTGTGGTAGTCTCAAAATACTCAAGTGTATTATCCTACAGACAGAGAGGAAACATTGATTGATGTTTTGGTAGCTCATCAGACAGTCATTTCAGAATACCTACTCCTGCTTTATTCATTCAGTCCCAAAATGTTTTCTTGAGCACCTACTAAGTGCTATAGGCATGTCTCTTAATACTTTTACAAAAATTGTGAGCCCAGAYGTTAGCAGTTTAAATGTCATGTATATAGGTTTGAAAAAGGGCCCCTTTTATTCTAGATAGATCACCTAAAAGAAAGAACATTTTAAGAACCTAATTGAACATCTATCAAATTGGCTTCTCTTGTGTCTCAGTGCCATCTTAGATACTGAGAGGTCCATAAAGAAGAATGAGCCACATCAAGAGGTGTAGGCTTTAGTTTCTTCGGTAACTAAAACCCTGCACAGCTACTTCTTCCCTCTGAGTAAATGCACTGTTCAGGTTTGACCCAGTGCGTCCTTCTGGTCTTTGTGAGAAAAGAATAGAAACACAGGCAACCTGATTTTGCCCCTCATTTTCCTCCACTAAAAGATTAAACTGGACAGAGAGTTGAAATGAATCATTGCAGAGTTTGCAATTATTTCCAGATTTCAACTATTCCTCCAGTTCCCTGATATCTGAAAACCAGGGTGTGACTGTGACTCATGACCCAGTTCAAACCACTTTCTTCCCTTTTATGAAGATGTCTCCAAAAAGGTAACCATAGTGCGAGTTTAGTCTGGGGCTTCCTTTGACTTGTACAAAATTGCCAAGCCTGAGCAGGGGMAAGAAAACCCTTTCTTGAAGCCTGGCTGCTAGTGCTAGATGGGAACAGAGTTCGTTTCATCACACCGCCCACTAGAGGTCAGGAGGAGGAATCATCACAGTAAGAGGTTGACTCGTAGGCAGTTTGCTGAAACAGGGAGCAACTGGGACAAGTTCAAGGGGTTTGAAGCGTAGACCTTGGCTGCTACATAGGAAGTAGTTTTTTCAACTACTAATAGAATCAATCAATCACCCAGTCTCAGACCCACAACTGAATCTCACRCCTCTGTCACTTTAAGTTACTTGCCCACTCAGAGCCCTGTCTAAAATGGAATGTAGGATAGTGACCACTTCACATGGGCTCAAGAGGGGTCAATGAGACCACACACACAACACATCCGCCAGGGTGAAGGGCACATTGGCACTACATTAACAGTAGCTATAAGACAAATAATCAGCTTGTGAATACCTTATCCTCTCTATGTCTTAGGTTATACATTACAGTTTTATGGCCTTTTCTCCTTTAAATCTTTTTTTTTTTTTTTTTTTTTTTTTGCAGTACTGGTGGTCTCCTTTCATTACACTCAGCTTTGCCCCATGAGCACACATCCCCAGCCC